ATTAACTGCTCGATCAAGAGCGAGCCAAGAAATAAGAACCCGTCATTAGGATGAAATGTAACACAAAAGCTATACATCCACTGTGACATCTTTTAACTCGCGCTCATTGTGGACGGCTCCAATGAATTGCTTATTGAGTTGGGATTACGCAAACATGCGGCTATCATTAATTATATTTAATTTTCACAGGCTGTGTAAGAGGTACGCATAGATAATGATAATTTAATTCTTTTTTTCACAGTATTTTGATAATTGCATATGTAAGATATACATCACTAAAAGAATGCTGCTATGTGCCAGTCGTGTTGAATTAATATAATTTTTAAATTGAGAAGGGGTAAGGCAATATTTTTATAAAGTAACTAATAAAATATTTCTTGCACGAACATTTATCACTGTCTGGTAAAATTATTTTCAAACAATTAGAGGATAAAAAAAGAAATACTAAACTACTTTTTCTCCTTGCTTAATTTTTTAATGTCTATCAGTGACACTGAATTTCGCGTATCAATGAATTATCTGTACATGTATTAAAATTTGTCAATATTTTTGGAAGAAAAGAAGAAGAATCTTTTCAGAAATGCACGTTGAAAACATTCCGCAATCAATAGAAAATTAGGGAATTACAAAAATATTTCTATTAACTTAATTAAGGTTGTATTCGGGTAACTTTAAAGAATATGACCCAGATTTAGAATATTTTCTCCACATAAAAAATCCAAGCATCTGTATCACATTCTGTCTTTGCTATTCTGTAGAGAGCAAGTATATTTTATCACACTATTCATTTTTATATGAGTTGACCTATTTTCCCCAGTATAAAATGGGTTTCTCTTCTATTGTAATTGCTAAAAGGAAAACTTCATTATAGAGGGATTATTTTGAAATTTTAAAAACACTCTATTATAAACAAATTTATAAATTAAAAGGCAGCAAAATTTCATGAAAATGTAAACATTTGTCCATCTGAAAATGAGTTCCGCCTTTAGTTCAACTTTTCGGTACATTCAGAGAAGACAGCCTTAAACTGGATTGTTAGTTCAGTTTTATAATTTTACATTTCGTACATAAAAAAACAAATATCAAGTAAAATTAAAGCAGGTAGACACTTGGACTGAAATGTGATAAATATAAAGTAGATCACAACGGGTTTTTTTAAGCTTATATACATTCATATTTCAAAATCTTGAGTTTATCTGATTAAAATATAAAGGCACAGTAGCGTCCAATTGTCATAAATTAACTGACCAATATAAAGTGAAAACTGCATTAAAATTGAAACAATCGTTTAAATTCTGAGGTCATAGAGTGAGCAAGAGTTGATTAACATCGCGCTGTAAAAAAATAATAAATAAATTAAACGAGGGCAATCGATGACGAATTTCGTAATTTTGAGCCTCGGTCGAGTAACGAGGACGACACCTGAGCTGTACCCCATCTCTACACCAACGAGGGAAGATTATGGGCCTCGAGAGATTTAATGTGCATCAGCAACCTCTGCACGGCGGGTCAGCAGCACCAAGACTCGAACCCGCAAAACGAAGGCACGAGTTCGAGACCATAACCACTAGACTACTACTGACCCTCTTAGGTTATAAAATATGGAAATAAAAATTGGTTTTTATATTTCTGTGATTTTATATTTTTATATGAATAGCGTTTTAGCTCTAGAAACACACAAAACAGTATTAATACATAATGTACATATAGTACATATATAGTTATACAGTATATATATAGTATAGTAGAGTATAGTACATACAGTATATATGTGTATATATAGTATATAGTACATACGTATGCGTGTATGTATACACATAAAACCACACACACACACATGTACTAGGCCATAGATTCAGTTTTGCATTTGATAATAACTACAAATCTTCAGACTCAGTGGAGCTTACGAGGAAGGGGCCCAGACCCCTCATAGCGCTTAATTTTTTTTTGATTGATGATAATAAAAAATTTGATTACGTATTTGTATTATAATTTATTTTTTTACTGTTATTTTTGTTTCCGAAATCGACTAAATCAAAAGATCAAATTTGGCGACGTATTGAGGTATGATTCAAGAATGTTGGAATTTCTACCTTGCCCCCTCCCCCTTAAAATTTTTTTGTGTGTGCCACTAGTCAGTCCACTTCCTTGAATGAGTTCGAGGAAAATTTCATTAAAACAAAAAATCCCCCCCCCCTCCCGTCATACGGATAACTTTCGAATTCGAAGTGTTTCAAACAAATTCTGTGGAAACCATTCAAACAATGACTGGCAACACTCCTGTCTCTTCATCCCTCACATTTAAGATCAACACACCTAATAAATGCCATGAAACGACTTGCAAACCAATCTCTTTCAATCCGCCGAACGATAAAAACGCCGAATTCAAGGTCAAACACAGTTTTCACCTCAAAATAACACTTACGGAACAGCAAAGCCTCGAGAATCAGACAGGTGGCATCCAAGATACGAAGCGAGAGAGAGAGAGAAAAAAGAAAGGATTGCAAAGACCGGGGGGGGGGCAGAGAGAAGAGAACTCGAGACAAATGACTTTCGGAAGTTCGTAATTTGAGACTGCTTTCGTGTCCACCCCTTTATCCACGGAAAGTTTTGGAACGCATCGCTGAGTTTTCCGGTCAATGTCGAATCTGAGCTATCTGTGAAGTTCGGAAGTCAAAGAAACAAGATCTTTCCACCGGGGGATGTCACGTGGGGAACACGGCTGGCTATTTCATCAATGGTTGGAAGATTGAATGCTTTGGTGTGTAGTACTTACGAAAGTTAACGAATGATTTAAAAATTCCCAGGTATAAAAATTTCAAACTAATACGATAATCTATGTTGGAAAACTTAAGGAAAATATTGGCTATAGGGGAATACGTCTGCTATATTCAACTAGATTGTAAAAATTAAGGGTTAAAAAAATGGGTTAACAGGGGTATTTTTTATTGTATTTTTCCACTCTTTTTATTTACCTTTCATTAGCCAAAAACACCCTAACCAATAGAAAATAGTGGAGGGGGGAAAAATAACGATAAGCCTTCGGGTGAATGGATATTTATTAACTTCACACTAAAGAGCAACACGAGGGCTATTAGAAACGGATCTCGTAATTTTGAGCAATGCTCAAGCGACAAGAAAGACACATAGGCTGGCACCCCCTCACCAAACTTCCACACCACGCCAACTAGACTTAGAGCGTTAACAGATTCGACGTGCATCAGCCCCTCTATACGGTGGGTCTTCGGTGATACCTGGTTCAAACTCATGACACGCCGACTAAAAGTCTATGACCTTGTCCATGACCACTAGGCTACAGCAGGCACATAAGAGCATGATAATAAAACTCCTGCAAAACGTGAAAAAATTGTGTAGGAGTTTCAAAGTTATTTGACAAAGATGACAATAACAAAATGAAGATAATCGAAGAATAAAAAAGAACAATTTTCCTTTGTATCATTTATCTACGCTTCTAAAACTGTACTCAAAGCCTAAACACATGATAATTAAGGATATGATAATAGACTACATTCATGAAAGAGAATATAATTTTTTTTTTAAAAAAACCTAGACCTATAAGCGCAGAAGTGTAATCTTTATGCTAAAAATTAAAAATCTTCCGATCTATAAGAGAGGTTTGAACCCCCACATTTGTATTACCATTAATTTTGGAATTTAAAAAAAAATTAATGAAAAGAAAAGCAGGTAGTAAAAAGGATAATGGTTTTTTTTTTTGATACTATTTATTCACAACTAATCGAAATTAAAAAATTTGCACGAAATAAAATTTTTGAAACTCTCCAAAAAACTCTGAATTTTTCCAAAACATGAAAAGAGGAAACTCTGAAAAGTATATGCATAAAAGAATATATATACCAACGCAAATATCAGCAAATTGACCTACAAATAAGAGTTTATAAATATCACTAAGTTTAAATTTATAATATCTAATAGGTAAATAATATATATATATATATATATATATATATATATATATAGCAGTAAATAATTCAAAAGAAGACTAATAAATCCCAAGCATCCTAAGATCAGACCGGAAGAACCAAGAACATGGAACCATGACAAACCAAAAAGAAATGTAGCTAGAGGGGAAAACTATTATGATTTCTCGAGCTGTCACTGGTTTAGGACAGTGAAACAGGATTAAACAATGTTTGTGAGATCTCAACCTTCTCCTGCAGCAGAAATTGTTTCTACATAATAGCTCCCAGTATATATATATATATATATATATATAATATATTACAACTTCTTTCAGTAATAAAATATATATTAAAATTAAGTTTTTAAGAAAATTAGAGGAAGAGAAGACACTTTCACAAAAACCTTTTAAAAGATAACAAAAAACAGACTAAAACATTTTACTAAAATGTGCCATATAAAGATTATGTGCATTTTTTTAAAATAAAGAACCGGGTATAAAAGAAAAATATAAAGGAATGATTCAACTCTGAACTCACTACATATTGTAAAACACATATTACACTAATTTACAAAAATAAACAAGCAAACACTTTAAACGACTTATCGCCGAAAAAAACCAGTGGCGTGGCTTGTACGGTTTTTTTGGAAAGTAAATGAAAATGGTCGCATTAATAAGACTTACTAGAGAGTGTCAAACTGTTTCACATGTTGGGATCCCTACAGCTTTTGGACTCCGTATCATTTATACGGCAGTAGCTACGCTTCTGTTAAAAACATAAATGACTTTTCTTTAATCATAATAGGGTGAGTAATAATTAAAAAGTATGGATATAAAGCCTCATTAATACATTATCTTTTACTCGGCATCATTTTTTTTTCAATTCCTACTATCAGTTCTCTCTCTCCCTATATATCATGTTCAAATTTTCAATCGTTAATAAAATATTTTCCATTCATCCATTCAAGTTCAAATACATTTCTTAAAACTTGTAGTGGATGATACAATGACGCAATAATAGTCCAACAGCATATATATTGAAAGGAAAATCGTTTGCTATGCTCCTGTAGTGTAATGGATTGCGCGTTGGACTTCTAATCCAAAGGTCGTGGTTTTGAATTCCACCTGGGATGGCCTAGAATCTAAGAATGGAAATTCTTTTTCATTATACTATTTCACTCTAGAATAATTAAATTTAGTTGATAAATAAATTGTAACAAACAAACAAAAAATAGTCCATTTCCCTATATAAAAAGGAAAATCGCTTTCTATTTGGTCTCGATTCTGTCATATGTATATACGTATTTATATTAATTGTAACTATTTAATAAAACGTAACTAAAATAAAAAATTTCTTTGGTAACCTCAGTAGAAATTGACTTAAATAATTTTTTATATATATTTCTTGTTCTTTCTTATCTTTCGTTTAAAAAAAGATCCCAATGTCAGTCGCCAAATAACGCGATGTAGTACCATTTCTGGCAACCTTCCCAGAATCGGCAAAGACTCGTAGATTAACTTCATCTATATTTCATGAACTTCCGTATACCGAGATAGATCACCGTGGGAAAACTACGAAATGAATACCCCTGTGGCTACTAACGCTGCTTGTAAGAGATGTAAGCAGTGCAGGTGGAACAAGACACGCAAATCTTGGATTGAATTCGAAACAGATACAAAGTTTGAAATTGTAGCAGTCGCGTGCAGGGACACTGAGTCGATAATAGTCATTTTATTTCACTTGCCTCACAATTATATTCCAATCAAAATAATAATCGCGATTGTCTCAACGCAATCATACTCGTTTTAACCCTTGTTCAAATGGAACAAACATAAATCGTCTTTTGGATCTCCAGACAATGCTCATCAGGAAGTGAATTTTATTTAATTAATTGTTTATTAATTTATATTGGGTAGCAATTTTGTTTAATTGTTGCTGTCGTAATGTAAAGAGCACTATTAATAGTCAATATTCAATTAAGGGACACCTTCCTAAAATAGATTGGGAGACTCTCCTCACCTTCCCAAGAAACTTGTACCATTCGCGTTTATTGTGATTTTTGTAAGCTTTAAAATTCGAAGGAAAAAGAACTGGATTGTAATTAATATATTAAAAAAGGTAAACAGTTACAACAAATAAAATTTAAATTCGAAAAAAATATTTCTGAAAGGATCATTAGTACATTGTATTCAATATGCCATATGACATTCAATACGAAATTTTGTATCTAGTAATGCCTTTCTGCAAAAACAAAATCAAAATTTTTTGAAGCTTTCACAAAAACTTCTTGTTGCATATATTTTTAAGAGGGCTCTAAAAGTACATTCTTTACTATTAACTAATTTAATATTCTTAATAGCTTTTTAAATAAAACAAATATAAATAGTATGAACAAGATGTTAATATAGAGAGAAAAAATAGAATTTAAATATACATATATGGGTGTGTGTGTGTCCATACGATATAAAAACAATGAAAAAAGAATTTTTTAATGCAGACAGAGATTTTAAGTATTTATTAAAAGGAAAGAATTGAAGAAAATTATAGTTATATGCAGTGGCGCACACAGAAATGTTTCAAGGGGGGGGGGTCCAGGGTCGAAGTTCTCCATTCTCGTATCCTCCAATACGCCGTTCAACATATTCTTTTGGTTTCGTCAGTTTTCAGGAACAAAAAACAGTAAAAAAGTTATTAGTTAATAAATTATTACCCTTAATTAATAAAATTAATTATTAATTAAAATTTTTAAATAAATTTTAAGTACTATATTTATATTAATAATAATGAATATTAAAAAAGTCAAGGGCTTTGGAGGAGGTCCATACCCGGGGATTCCCTTTATGTGTGCGGCACTGGTAGTTATAAGCTGTAATTATGTGTATTAGTTACACATAAAGTTAGAAGACGCCATAATGTTTATAACAATAGCTTGAAACATATATTCTAATAATTCTAAACAAATATATCTATTTCAATCGATTATAATGCAAAATAACAGAAGGTGTTGACAATCTGTATGATGTCCGTCATTAATATAGAAGTACTAACAAGTATTTCGTCTGAACAAGTATAGAAAATATAATTCAGATATTATTCAATCAATCAATATACATATATATACTAAATTGCTGTAAATCTATAGAAACAAAGCAATAAATAGAAATAAATGCAGACAGTATTGGTCAAAAATAAGAAACCTTAGCGGTAAACTCTTAACCTTATGAACTAAGATTGTCCGGTTGAACATCGTTTTACAGCCAGCCAACCTTGCTGAAAAATCTACCTAAACCAGTGGCGCATACAAGGGGAGGCGCACAAACCCCTTGATTATTTATTCAATAATTAATTTTTAACTGTTTTTTGTTCCCGAAATCGACAAAATCAAAAGAATATGTTGGGCGACGTATTGGAGTATGATACGAGAACGGTGGACTTTCCGCCCTAGACCCCCCCCCCCCCGCTCCTTTAAAAAATTCCTGTGTGCGCTACTGACCTGAGAAGAGAGCAATTATAAGAAAAAAGCATTCAGAAAAATGATACAATTAATATAAAAAATTTGAAAAAAATAATTTTCAGATAATTTTTAAGATTTTAATAAGAAAAATGACCGCTTATATAAAGGTAATATCAGGAGACGAAAGAAAAATTGCAAAATTGAAGAATCCACTAGTAAGATATATGACTAGGAAGCATTTGTAAACTCGTTCTTAATCATTCATCCCCATGTACTTATTCATGAATAAATTTGGTGATCCAAAACAAGCCAATAAATGTGATGATGGAATCGAATCCATTCAAAAGTACGGCCACGAATATCAATCATTTGTTGATGAAGCGTTTTTATCGACTGGAGAGCGAGGAAAGTACAAAAAGATTTACACACTGTTAAAACTGTTCTTCGACTTCATAGCCAAGGGACAGAGAAAAAAAATCCTCACCTTCATTAAAAATACACGAATTTAATTTACATCCATTAAGTGATTAATTAACAGATGACTTGAGAATCAGCCATCGTTGTTGCAAAACTCATTAATTCCGATCTAATACTTCAGCGTCCTTTGAGAAAAATTTCCTGGAAGTTATAATATTAACAAACTATTTGACTTTCCACGAAAAGGATCCAGACTTCTCTGATAGCACCGAATTACACTTTGCCACTTGGATGCTTTTAGATCAAAGGCAGGGATCTTCACAACAATATGCGAGACACGCATAACTGGAGTGCCTTGGAGCAAGCAAAGGTGTGTTTTTTTCCATCCCGTAACCAGACCTGTGAATAACATAACCACCAATAGAGAGACCGCTATCTCTGAAGCCGTTTAGGAAAGCAGGGGTGTGAAAATTGAGGCCCCCTTCGATCTTGTTAAACACCTTCCGACATAAAGTCCACTTCCCAAACGACAGCTCCAACATCTCTCCGCCCCCCCCCTTTGATGTTTTCCGCCCCTCCTTTCAGATCTTCCTTTCCTGGCTACTTAACTACGATCTCGGAGGAGAATCTCCCGTAGACGAAAGGGGCCGTGCAAAGGATGAAGACTTTTACTTGTAGAACCTGACTCCACGTCGTTGAAACCGCACGTGAAACGATTATGAAAAATACTTTCTACTTAAGAAGTTCCTACCGAATCATTCCTTTCGTTTAAATCTGACTCGTTTTTAATATTTTTCTTGGAAAATGACAAAATTTATATTTATATCACTTTGCCAATTATTATATTCATATTTTATTATTAATGGATAACTTAAGCACTACAATAATGGTTGTTCCATTGTTAGAAATTTAAATTATTTGTAAAAGAATATTTATAGGCAATCTAATTTGTACGAAAATAGATTTTGTATACGTATTAAATATCACAATCCCATTCTTATTAAAATAACGCGTGGCTGCTACTATCATGAAATATTAAATTAGAAATTTTTTTAACCGACCCAAACACCACAGAACCAAGATAAAAACCTAACCGTTCAAATCAGATTGCCCTAATACTAAGAGAATAGTCGACTCAATTCACAGAATAAATACTGATCGTATTGAAGGAACTTGAGAAAAGTGAGTACGTCAACACTCCGGACCCATGGAAACCTACCCTTCCAAACGATTTTGTTTCCAACTTTCAACAAAATCCTTCCAATACAGAACATGCGGGAATGACACGAGAATGGTGAACTTTCGATCCCGTGGAAAAATGCTTGTGTTTGTTTGGGATCAATACGAAAAAGATACAAACTTTCACAGTCAAAATTATGATTTAAGTTAAAAAATTAGTAAAATTACCAAAATTTTTCAAATTAAAACTTATCACAAACTTTTAAAAAAAAATTTATATTTCCTTGAACATGATTCTGTTTTCTACTCAATAACACAAAGCTTTTTTTAAAGATATAAATTAAATCTTCTTTGGGATGTATTAATTGCAAAGAAATTAGTGATTTTGCACAGAAGACGGATGAGGTTTTGGAATTAGACCAACATTTTTTTAAAATTTTTAGCGTGAACATTACGCTTTGGCGCTTTCATCTACAAGCTTTTTTAGAATTTAGCAACCCCCTGCCTCTACAAAAGAGGTCTGTGTATACCATTGGTAGAAATTATTGGAATTTTGCTTTAGAAAACATGTCTGTCTACTTTGTAATATTTTGACTGAAGTAAAAAATTTGAAAAATTCCCTACTTCACAAAACATCTGCAATGAAATTCAAAATCGAGATGAATTGTAATTGTAAATTTTATGCACCACAACTGATTGTTCATTTTTAAGAAAATGGAGAAATAATTATTCATTTATGTAATTGAAATAAAGAACTCATATAAAATTGTTTATCGAAAAAAAAAAGGTTTCTATCCTCATTTTTGACAAAAATTCTTCAACATTTAAAATTAAAGAATTTTGTAGATTATGGAACAAGATTAGACTTTATATTAAATATCTTGACAACATTTAAATAGATATACAAAAAAGAGTTTTGAAAATAAAATGTTTTAAGTACACTATTTAAATGACTTGTTTTCATTATTCTCAGATTTGGATTAAACTCATAAAAATGGTAACAGTTTAAAATGAGAAAATTATTGAATTAAATGCTTGTTTTAATTTTATCCACTTTGTAACGACAAATACTGAATACTATA